CTCATCTCCATAGTTGGGGAGGGCTTGCTGACGGATTTATGATGCCATCCAGCCAATCCTGTGGCATACAGTAAAGATGGTAGTGAAATTGAGGAACTCGAGATAGAAGGCACCAAGTACCCTCTGTGACATCTGCCTCGCCTCCTCACCTCACCCCCCCAAATTAAAACCAACCCTGTTTGACACTTACCTTGCTGGGATCCTTTGACCCCAGCTGACCTCCTGCCCTTTGGGCAGGGGGCTGGACTCAATGATCTTCCGAGGTCCCTTCCAGCCCTAATGTCTATGACATCTATAAAATCTGTTTGCATCCCTCTCTAGCCAGTCAGCCTCCAGGAACTTATCGTCTCATAAACACCGTCCGCTAGCAGGTTAGAGTCTACTATCTCCTCTTCACACCTTATCCTGTGTCCTAGTCCATGCCCCCTGCCAGCATTCCCTATAGTGCTTTATCCTTGCCAGTTTTGAATAGCTTTGCAAAGTATCAAGGGCGCACTATTCCCGCACACTTTCCTGAGTTGGGGGTGAGCCGCCTTTCATGGAATCACGACTTTGGAGATCCACCAGAAAGCAGCACCAGAGACACAGCACCCGAATGCAAGTTCTCCCCACCTTCTTTTGCACCTTGCAATCCCTGTCCATACCCTCTCCTCTGGTGGTGGACTGTGGGAGAGGAGACACAGGCGCAGGGAGGACTCCACAGTTCAGATGTGAGCTGCGTAATGGGAGAGGTTTCCATTTTACAGACAGGGTTGAGGACACAATGCAAGGCTGAGGATCCACAGACACATTGCTTGAATACAGCAGAGATCTGTCCCTTGCATTTCTGCCTATGGTCTCCTCCCATCAGGCAGTGTAGCTTTTTAGGAAGCACATGTCTTCTCAGACTTCTCTCTTGGGGGGGGGTGCGGTCATAAACGAACTGTTAACACTTATCTCAGCAGTAGCAGCATTGAAGTGTTAAGGAGGAAGGGGCTGCTCTCTGCTTCTTTAGCCTTCCCACTCCTGAAACGCCAATCCCACAGAGCCAGGATGAAGGGACTATGAGGTGGTGGGTTAGGGAAATAGTACATCACCTTCCCTTTTTTCCTTATATTCCTTGCAGGGGCTCAGGCCTGTTTTATTTTTATTGGCTCCCTTCTGCACACAGCAGTGGGCCCCAAAGCTTCTCTGGCCATTGCCATGCCCTTTCCCTTAGTTTTCCCTGAAAAACAGACTCTTCTCTGCTTCCTCAGTTCTATCCCTATTCTCCTTATCCTCTCCATTATCAATAGCAGACCTTTCCTACCCCACCCTCTGCACAGACGTGGTAATTTTCTCTAAACTCCAAGTGTCAGGGCCCAGGGCTGGACAGTATCAATGGTTCCATCCTCCTTACCCTCAGGTCTTGCAACTCATGGAGAGCTTCCTTATATTAATGTGTTTTTCCACAGTAGGATTTCTTGTAGTTATTGGATAGAAGACAGTGCAGGGTGGCACCTTAGAGACTAACTCGCCTGTGGGTGCCAACCAACTTTGTCCAAGAACTACATAGCATTTGATAGAGAGCCCAGAAATCCTCTCTGACATACAGAAAATCCATACAGTTTATAGTCTGAGTGTTTTTTTCTGGGGATTAGGAGGTTTTCTTCCCAGGCAAACTTTCATTAAAAAAAAAAAAAAAGTTCTACCCAGGTCGACTGGGAAAAGCCTGTGGGATATTACATGACAGAGGCTGATCCTGTGGTTAAATCATACGATCAGAAGACAAGAGAATCCAGCTCTCAGCAACCAACTCACTCTGAGACACAGGGCAAATCATTAAGGTTCCCATCACCCCTGTTTCTCTGATTGCAAAATAAAGAGGACACTACTATTTTCTTACTTCAAATTTCCTACCTTAAGCGGGACTTGAAAATCTTTATGAGCTTTCCAAATTTTATTCCAGGTGCAGGCACCCCATGCATGCAAGCCATTTGTGTTATAAACTAAAAAATATCTTTCTTCTCAAGGTGTTTTATAACTTTGTAAATCACGGAGACACACTGACACACTTCATTCATGTTGCCCTTTAGGGAATTGCATGATTAGCCTTCAGAGGCTGTAGACAGCCTGAAACAGTGGCCCTAAATTGGTCAAGACTTTGGGGCTCCACTGTGTAGTTGGGTTCTGTATCCAGAGCACTGATCTTCCATGAGACTCTGGGCAAGCCACTCTCTGTGCCTTGGGTTTACTCAGCTGTCAGGTGAGGTTAATAATATTTATTCTTGTCACAAGAATTTTGCGAGAACTCCAAAGAGGGAAAGCACTCCCATGAATGACTCCTTGCTGTTATGCTCCCCATCACTTCTGATAACACACAGCCAGGTGCAGCCCAGCTTCTTCTTTACTGTCTACAAGGCTTCCACTCCTGTGGGCTCTCATAACCCTTCTTCTCCATCTGACACATGCAAGGCACTGCCAACACTGGGCTCTCTTCTCCAATTCTTCCGTTACCAGCCCTGACTACTCTGATCTCTTCCCCTTTGCTGCTGGCGTTCAGCTGCAAACCCTTTTTTCCATCATGAGCAGAGAGAAGCTGCACACAATCTGGTTACTCTTCTGATCAAAATATCTAGGGGTGGGGAAGGGAGTGGAAATCACCAGCATCTAGAAGCGAGTAAAAAAAAGCAAACCAGACCAAATTCCATTCACTCCAGGAAGCAAAGGCAATTTACTCTAGAAGCATCTGTGAGAACGCTCCTCCACTAAACAGAGCCCGTCTGCATGGACAAAACAAACACACACACACACACACACACACAAAATCACACCCACTTTTTCATCCCTGAAGGAACCTGCCCTTATGCCATTAAGCCAAACTGATCCTTTTCCCCCACATTAATGGGTTGCAAGCTGCATGCCCAGCTGCCGCCCATCCTCCCAGTATGCACCATATCTCAGCACTGCTCTATTAATATAGCTTGTGTCATTCTTTGAACTTTTCGAAATGACTGGCACTCATAAAAAAATGAATGTGGGGGCAGGGAGAACAACATTTTTGAGGTGTAAAAACAAGACAACTGCCTGGGTGCTCAACACTAGCAATATGAGTGCATGTCTGGGGACATATGCACAGTTCCAAATATGCTCCACAGCACAGACTTCTCCCCCGCTGGGAGAGGATGAGACCAAACCTATGACTAATGTTAGTCATGTTGCTACTGGAGGGCATTCAGATATTAGAGTAATGAGGTCTGAGTAGGAAACTGATTAGGACAGAATGTCATGGCAAGGCAGGACTAGGAAGCTCAATGGAAACTTTTGGTGGGTTAGGAAGAAGGGTAACAGAAGGTTTTGGTCACTGGGGAAAGCCGAGAAGAGAAGAGAGAAAAGGGCTGGTGGGGAACAGCTGTAAAGGGGGAATGGACACAAATGCTCTATGGGGAAAGGAACGCAGGTGTCCATATGTATAGGATGAACATGCACTCTGCTTGTCGTTGGTTCAGTTACCCAGTGGCTTCAGAGAGTCAAAGTCTGCAAGGAGTTAGGCAATCTGACCCAAAACTCTGTGGAACAGAAAGGCTGAGAGAGAGGGGACCAGCAATCAAGGACAGAAGCAGCTGTCAGAAAGACAGTCTCTGAAAACCTAATTCCCATTTTACACACACACGATATGTAGAAAGACCATACATGGCGAACCAAAGGAGAAAATATTACCTAACCCCTTTTAAAACTTCTTGGGAGCAACCCCCTCCCCACCCTGTCTCTCCTACCCTTTTTTGTATTTGAGCTCCAAAACAATTTTCCATTCTTGTCTACAATTTGTTTGTGTCCCTTCTCTTTAGAGTAGTACCTCCCTGTTCTTCTCTCAGGTTAAATGACCAATAAGGACGACAGGGAACGCTGTTCTCTAAAGTTCTGCAAGGTCTCGGATTAGGCCCAATCATTCTACCTCCATGTTTTCGGGCTTAACTGGTAGCTCTGACTCCCTGCCTTACCAGAGCCTTCATGGGGCAGGGGATAACGAGGGGTCATCTTCCTAAAAAAACCCATGGTGGTAAATCCACCCTGCAATAAAACCAAACCCCAATCCTGCAAAAAGCTGAGGCAGGTGCCTAACTCTGGTAGCAGAAATCAATCCTGGCCAGAACCTGTGCAGCACAGGGCTGTGGCATCCGCATTATAACACTGATCTGCGCCAAACTGACAACACGATGGACACATGCCCAGTCTGGCCCGATTTCCATGGGTTTTGCAGAAGCTTCCCAGCCTAGGGGGTAACTCTGTGAGGAGTTGCTGGAGGCAGGGGGCTGTGGCAGGGAAGACGGCGCTCTGGTGGGGGGGGGAGCCTGAGCCCTGCAGAGGGGTTTCTGGTGCCAGGGCTGGGGGGATACAGGGCACTGCTCCAATGCCAGGCAAAGGATGCACCACCCACCCCTGTACCCAGCAGCTGGTTCTGCATCTGCAAGGAGCCAATGCCTTGGGGGTAGCCTAAAACCTAAGGAGTGAGAGCGCTGGGCCCTGCTCCATGCTGGAAGCAAGATGCAGCCTGCACCTAAGGATACCCACCACACCTCCCTTCCTCCAGGGCCACTCCATACCTCCCCAGCCAATTAGGGAACAGTTTCTGGCTCAAGAAAAGGGGGAGGGATACATGTCAAGCAGCCAATTACTGCCCCGCCTGCCCGCAGGGGGCGGGGCTCAGGTCGCGGCACCTTTAATGCGGGAAACTTTCCCTGCCACCCACGACCCCCTCGCGCGGGGATTGGCTGGGAGGGCGGCCGCCGGGGTGAAACGTCGCCGGCCCCTTCCTATTGGTGGCAGCGCGCCGTCAGTCAAAGCAGGGTCACTTCCCCATTGGCTGAAGTCAAGTCAACCCCGCCTTAAAGAGGGCGTAAGTCCCAACCCGCTCCCCCTACCACGCACCTACTCGGCGGCTATCGCGGTCACTTTCTGGGGGGTGGGGGCAGGGTCGGGCTGGTTAATGGACGAGTGCAAATGTCAAGGACGCCGGGGGGGGGGCTCGGGGCCACACTCACCGATGCGCTGCCCCACGGGGGAGCTGAACGGGTTTCCCAGCAGAAACTCCATCACTGCCGCCGCGCAACTCAGCAGTCAGCTGACCGCCAGCGCCCGTCACGTGAGCGCCGCGGGGCGGAGTTGGGAGCCCAGCTACCTGTGATGCCAGCGGCTGCCGCTTGTGATTGGTTGGAGGGCGGAACCCCACTCGTGTACCTTCTCCGCTCGCCTTAAGCGGAGTGGTGACGCCAGCGCGCCCGCCATGACGTTACAGCTTCGTGGCACTTCTCGGCTCCCTGTTTGGGCAGGGAGGGGTGCCATGGGGCGGAGAAGGCCGGGAGTATCCTGCCTCACAGTTGGGGAGAGAGGCACATTTCCTTATGCTCTGCAGGCTCCCTTAGTGGGCCTGGCAACAGATGGCAGCCTACACGGGGTGGCCCTGATTGGCTAGCTCAGAGGGCCCAGCAGTTCCCAGGCAGCCTTGCCAGGTGTAAGATAAATACTGTATTTGTAGGATAATTTCAACCCCTGTATGATGTATGACAGACAATGCTAAAAGCATGAACGACGTGTGCCCCTGGAGGCTGGGGGGCACGGTGAGCACCCACGGCCTGCAGGCACTGTCGGCAACATAAGCGGTGCTTCTTTCAGGGGGTGCATGTGCACCCCCTACGCATTGCCAATGGCTAAAACTGTTCAAAATGTATTTGTTTGCACATATCTAGTTGGCCTAATAAAAGATACCACCTCTTCCACGAGTTTTGATTCCTTTTGCCTCTAGACAAGTAGGGCTACAACTGGGATACCTGACAAAATGTGCAATGGCTTTTGATGCAATTAATTGATGCAGCATATATAAAACCCAAGTCACTCTCTGGTAGGGTTGCCAACCCTCCAGGATTGATCTGGAGTCTCCAGGATTTGGACACAAATCTCCAGGAGACTGCTGAGAGTCACCCAGGAGATGAATGATAGGGCATTCATTAACATGTTGAATCCAATTTATACAGTAGTCCAGTGGGATTTTAAAATGTACTTGTCATGTGCATTTGCCTTCCTGATGTAAAATCTACACCCTGTAATCCATAATTGACGTACACAAGCATGCGGGCAAATGCGTGTTGTGTTGTGGGCATGTTGGCATTCCAAAAGCCTCCCGGAATAGATTCAAACAGTTGGCAACACTACTCTCAGGGAATCTTAACGAACTTCTGCGTTTGCTGTCCGCACTTGCTTATGCCTGCTTGCCTCGAAACTTCAATTTTGATGACCCAGTTCTCACTGGGGACTTCCAGTGAGCAATATAACATAACTGCAGAACAATTTACAATACATAGACCTGAAACACAAAATAGAGAGAAAAGACTAATAGCAATCAATTCAGTTTAACCAGCTAGAGAAAGGGTTAAACAAAGTATCAAGCAGAGCAGTGCAGGATGTGGTGATGATAACAGTATAAGGCAGGGGTGGGCAAAATGCAGCCCAGAAGCCAGATGCGGCCTGCCAGGCCATTCTATCCGGCCTGCAGGGCCCCTAAAAAATTTAGAAAATTAATATTTATCTGCCCTGGGCTACCTGTCATGCGGCCCTTGATCGCTTGCCAAAACTCAGTAAGCGGCCCTCTGCCCAAAATAATTGCTTGCCCCGGTATAAGGCAACATGATATTACTTAGTTATATACTTATTTTTTTTCAGTGTATGACAGTTTTTCAGAAAATACAATGATTTTGAGCTTCCAATACAATATTTTCATATTTAAGACCTGGTAACACTGTTCCCAGGAGACAGATGGCAAAGAGAAGTAAAGCTGAGAAGGATCTCAAAGAGATCATCTAGTCTAGCAGTTGGCAACCCCCGGCACGTGTACCAGAGGATGGCACAAAAAGCCATTTTTTTCAGCTGACCCCAGCTCTGGGCAGGCCCCTGCTGTGGATCCTGAGCTGCTTGCAGAGTCCGGTCCTTGAGCCACAGAGCCAACTACAGTCATCACAGGCCTTTCCGCAGCTGAGAAGAGGCTGCAGGCTGGGATTCCTCTCCTTTTCCTTCCCCCACTCCTTCCATTGAAACAGACTAGTGCTTGGTTGAGGCTGAGATGCCAGTGGAATCAGTTGACAGTCAGCTCCTCCCAGCTCTTGATGTCAGCATCTATTTGCTTCGGGTGTGCCTTCAACATGTCATCATAGCCTTTTCTCTGCCCACTGGGAGATCTCAGGCAAGACAGGATATGGCCTTTACACCCTTTCCCACCGTGGCCCACATATTGGTACTACCATCCCCCTCCACCACACCTCCTTAGCGGTACTAGTTGTCACCTCTACTTGTGACTCCTCGGCAGGAAGGGACCAGTTACAAAAAAACCCCTCTTCCTCTAGCAATTCTTTCATAGGAGAAATACTGCAAGTTCTACCAACACCAGTAAGAACTTCCAGAAAATGTGCCCCTTGCTGTAATGTTGCGGATGTAATAGGTCTGTTAAGAGAAACAAGGCCATTAGCAAGTACCAATCCCCATTTTGACAAAGCTGCCTACTCCAAATGGCAGAGTCCAATTCCACATTGCTTCCATTTGTGCAGATTGCATTAGCTTATGCTGCAGCCTCTGTAAGATGGACTGAACACTGGCTCTTCTGCCTCTGTGATCAGCCTGGCTTGTTAGCTCTGTTGTGGTCACAATAATGGGAATAGGGACAGCTGCAAAAGCAATGGAAGCGCTACCACTTTTGCAAGGGCAACTGCACCAGTGAGCCTTAGACCCCTACTTCCATGGCTTCAAATAAGCTGATACCATTGTCTAAGTAGTAAACAAGCACGTTGCATGAGGTGAGCTTGGAATGGGACCTGAACGTCTGTATTCCTTCCAACGTAGAATTCCAGGAGAACTGCTGCTTAAATGTGTTGAAATGGTTGTGGGTACGAGTTTCCTGGTTCTAACGTTATTTTCCTTTGAACTTCTGTTGAAAGGTCTCCTTACAAGAAGTGCAACTTGAGTTGGTGAGGAATCACATTTTGCATGATCATCATATATTGGGACATCGCTACACAAGTTTTGAGCCTATTACTGACTGAGTCTCTCTGCTCTTGAAACTACGGTGTTTTGAAAGAGTATTACAAGATGTGATCCTGCCATTTCTGTCATTGCTGAGGGATCCTGAAACACCTGTAGCATTTTGCCTGCCATTCAATGAATGGTAAGCAAGGAGAGGGGCAGGCAGATAACATGGTACTAGGGCATTTAAGTGACAACCCTCTGTAGTCATGCAGGTCTTTTACTGAGACTGCTAAATGGTGCAACTCAGTAATTCCCAGGTTGTATTTCAAGCATCCTTTCATTAGAAATAAGACACTGAAGTACCCAGCCAAGAACCACAGGACGGGTCTAGATTTCAAATACCAGAGACATTTCATTCCGTAAAATGAAATACTAGGACAGCTAGAGTAGTGAGGGAAATGACAACCAGCAAATTACAAATACCAAGCAAAAAAATAAATGACACAAAACTCCAAATGTTAAAAAAAATTATATTGTAAGTACAGTACAAAAAGTTTCTTTATACAATTGTAATGCAATCTGGATCAAATGGCAGGAAAATAACAAAAATATAAAAACTGCTAGTTCTCAGTCCAAAGTTTTTCCCTCTAGTACCAAATACCACAAGATACAGATTATACAAATGTGTACAAATTTTAAATAAAAATACAATACATTAGGGTTGTGTGTGTTTCTAAACTCTTCAAGAGTTTACTGTTGTACAGATGGTAAAGCTAAAGCTGATCCTCTTCTGTTCCTTACATAGAGATCTGCAAATCTTTTCCTTTGATACAATACTTCATTTCTTGTGGAGAGCTGGAAATGGAGCCAAGCATTTTATGCCACTTGCAAGAACCATGGTAAATGTCCAGATCCAGAAACCAGACAGCTTTTCCCATATCTCCAAGCTCCCTCAAATTCTGCTTCAGATTAGCCATATCTGGGTGAGAGATTTCTGCCTTATTCTGAGGTTCTGAGAGAGTCCTCTGTTCCATCCACCAAACCAGCCCTTCTGATTGACAAATAAAAGCAACACTGAACTGGGAAAAGGGGAAGCCCTGCAAGAGACAAGAGCTGGGAGGGAAACTGGCAGGAAGCCCCTTCCAGGCAGCTGAAGATTGGCTTTAAAACATAATAGATTTAGGTTTCAGCAGCAATGAGGAACAGCTCATTCTCAGCTGCCCTGGAAAAGAGAGAAACCACAATTTGTAACAGCACAGAAGTGCTCCGATTCTGCTACTTTAAAATCTGTAATGTTATAATGGAGGGGGAGGCCGAAGCCAAAATTTCAGCTTCCACCCAGCATCACTGGACACCCTGTTGGCCACAAGGGCCCAAAGTTTTGTTGGCTGTTGTTCCCCCTTACAGAGCCTAGCTTTGCCACAACAGGTGCAGCTTATTCCTGCAGGAACTAGGGATGAGCACAGCTGATTCATATTTGCCACACACTTGGTGGAGGGAAGGACTTTTGTTTTTAAATTATATCTATATACACAGAAATATACAGGATAAATTAAAATCTATTACAGATATTGGTAAAAGTTAAATACACAATATGGACACCACGCACACATACACACAAGCCTGTGTGAGAATCAAGTGCTTTCCTGCAACTCACATTGGAGAAGCAGGAGCTTGGAATGCCAACATGTGGCTGTGGGGAGCAGGGATCTGTCCAATGAACCCATCTGTGCCACTCAGCAATAACTCCTTCAATCTTCAGCATTAATCACTTCCTCTGGAGAATACAGCAGCACCAAGAGGATTCCATGCCTCTTAAATAATACTGCTGGTGAAAGGGATGGGATCAGCAATCTTAGAAACTAAAAGTCTTCTACTCATAAAACCAGCACAACATGGGCAGGGGCAGTGCAAGCTTTTTCCTCTGCTAACTAGTTCTTCCTTGCCAGAGTGGGCTAGCCCTGCTCTGGAAGAATTCAAGGGAGGTTCAATTTTCCATAATCCCAAATTCAATCTTTGGCCCTCTGCTGTGGATGCAATCTTGAGCTAATGGCAATGTAGATGCATGCCCACTGGAAGAGTCCAGTTGCCTTACCATCTCCAGGACTACTTTAATGCAAGCTACCAGCCAACTGACAAGAA